ACAACTGCTATAAAACTATTAAAATGCTTCAATACTGGTGAAACTTGGCAAATATGTTGAATGAATCATAACCTCTGTAACAACATGCTCAATCTTAAATTTCCTGTTACCATGGCAATAAGGGGACGTCTCAAAATTGCAAAAAATCACTATTTTGCATTGTTTTTTCCATCAAAACCGATTTCAAAGCGCTGCAACTTCTAAATGCAATTAGATAGAGTAAAAGGCTTTTCAGCAGCGTTGGTTACATGTCATCTGAAGTTCAACCTGAGGCCATTTTTAGCCTGTCACATGTCCAAAAAGTTTTTGGCGATGAGGGGGACTATCGCTCATCTTCAAACCTCCATAACACAAGGGGGCACTTCCCCCTTCTGGCAACCCCCTGGTGTTTTATTCTGATGGTGGCCGCGAGGAAAAAGTGGACACTTTTCTAAAGAATATTTCTCAAACAAACAACAGTCTTTGGGGCCTAAATAGGGCATTTATTCACTGTTTGAGGCCTTAAAAGGGGGAAAAAAGCCGTCAAAACACGTCTTTATCAGGGAAAAGGTTAAATGACATATTTATTGACCAATTAGTCCTTCTCCAAAGCCCAACTGAATTGTCTATATTTGACCCCAAATCTAATATACATCTGCAAGATACTATACATGACTCACATAACGTCATCTAACACCCTTATATATATCTGGCTTATCTAAGACATTTCTGTTTATTAAATTTTTGGACACATTTTTTCATTTTATACTTTATGCTGCTTAATTGTGAGAAAATTGGATAAGAAGATGGAATAAATCAATTTCAAAACTTGAATAGGGTGATAACCGTTCTCCACGTACTGATGGTTTTGATTCAGACACAGGGACAATTAAATATGTCAGACTTGAAAAAAATGAAGACTCTTGTACAGGCGAACACGCTAAATATATTAACTAAGGCGTCATCCTTCGAAGTTTTCCAAAAGATGATGTGAAACTTCAATTTATGTCGGACGATGGACAGCGCCAACGGAAAGACTATTCTACAATCAGGTATCATACTAAAAGTATTAAAGATCCAAACATTTATTTGAATTTTTGCTATCTATTTCACACTTTAACCATTTACTGGTGATTTTGTCACAGATTTTAGCTATAGAAGTTAAAAAAATGATCATACATACATTTAATCAATATCTTATTGGTAATATTATTGGTTGTACCATTAAAAACACAGTTCAGAGACTTATACCCTCTTAGTATCTCTAATCAAAGGGAGACAACTCAAAAAGACACATATAAATAAAAATCCAAATAAATATGTTATTGTGTTTTCCTTGTTCCCTTGATATTGCAAAATTGACACATTACAGCATGATTGAAAAGTATATATGAGCCACGCCATGACAAAATCAACGCATCGCATCGGCGCAGTCTGATCAGGATCCATTCTGTTCGCTTTCATTTTCTCTACTTGTAATAGTGTTTGTAAGCGAACAGCATGGATCCTGATCAGACTGCGCGGATAAGCAGGCTTGTCTTGATCCATGCTGGTCGCAAACGCAATATATTGGTTTTGTCATGACGCGGCTCACATCATTGTCAGTGGCAAAAATGACTGCTACAAGCTTTTGAATACAAGCAAACTGTTGAATATGATAAATCAAGTCAGTCGAGAACATAGGGAAATGAAACCAGACTGTCAAGGAAACCTTTGCTTCGATTCATCTTCATGCTGCAATGGGGCTTCGGATGGCGCAAGAGTGCAAAGTGCCAGACCTTTAGCTATGTTTCAAAACGATTTAGGCTTTACACAGAAAAAGACACTTGTAAGCGGGCAGTTAAACCAGCTTCTGTGACCAGTGGAATATCAATAGTTCTAACTCAGACGCCAATAGCTTCATCTGGTGTCATAAAAATATGCCATGGAGGACATATACCAGCCCCCTCAGCTGTCTGCCTCCAGAGAACTGCAAACCTTTTCAATGATGTCATTTGCAAAGAAAAGCAAAGGGGCAAGAAAAGAATCAGATAATAACTGAATGAAATACAAAGGAATGCCACAGAATGTTATTAATGTACAGGCAGATGAAATATACAACAACAACTTATACGGCGTCGAGAAAACACCGTTTCAGCCTGCAACGAAGGCATCATACACAGTCGCGGAGAAAATAACTTCAAAGAAACAAAACGTTGCTGCTGAGCAAGTGAACAAACTTTGTTCTAAGCATGGCTTCTACTCTCAAGAAGAAACATAATGCGACAACAAATCTGAACTTTGCTCGGCAACATCCAACATTGAAACGACTAAAGGAGACAAACATAGATGGGAAAAGAGCTGGTTCATGATGAGCGTGAGGTTCAATATCTAGCCACTGATGCAGATTCAGGGGCTTTTCGTGCTGCCGCAGACCTTGACGACAACAAAATCACAAGCACGGAACCTGTTCATCAGCTGGGAACGAGGCATCTTCCAGCAAACCATCGGAATATATATCAGTCTGGGGGCTGCTGCTTTAAAACCAACAACATTACTAACATAAAATGATACAACTTTCTATGTAAATCATGTACTTAGCTGGAAGCATACATAAAATAATTCTTCGTTCCATATTGATTTTTTTTTAAGTTTTTTAAATTTACAGTTTTTGTGTGAAACGCAGTCAGAAAGATTTATTCAAAAACGTCTGCCGTTATTTGTGTTGTTTTTTTTGTCCTTCTTTACAAAGAAACTAGCAAATTTTATCAATTTCGAACACTTTCGGATCAGTTACTGCTGGCCTGCAAAAACTATTTTGATATATTGAAGCTTCACTTCGTATTGTGTTATTTGTTATATATGGTGCTCCGGGACTGCCCAGAAAAGTTAAAAAGATAATTTCCTTGTGAGATAGAATGACATGGAATTTGCGTTTCCGTCCCTGGTCGCCCAGAAATCACTGATTTCGTGCCAAATCCATGCGAATTCCGCCTTGAATCCATGCCAAAATTTCGTAGAGGTGCTTATTGTAATTTTATTGTTGGAGCAGTGTTTGATTTTATAGTATGGTTGTTGGAGTTTGTATGTCCGATGCTGGTTTGTTCAGAAAGTTCGTGGGCTTTTGCTGTAGTTTTTTTCTTTGTTCATTAAAACGAATTTGGTTGATATGAATTGAAAGCATGTCTTTATTTCTAAATTGAGTTTTCTTTTATCATAATATTTCATTTCCTTCACGAACTATGCACTTTAATAATTATGGAAACGCAACATCAGCGCACGCCGAAATGTTCATACAACGTTTAAATATAAACTAATGTTAATTTAAATTGAATAGTCATTTCAGTATGAAAATTCAGGTGAACAGTTATTAATATTTAAATGACATATATCTGACAATCGACGTCATTTGGAATGGTTTAAAAAACATATGGAGGTGGATTTACGCCATGTCGTAAACTCGCTTCTTCGCCTCAAAATTGACTTTGTCGCCTCTTCGTGTTTTTACTTTTTCTGATTTTCGAGGCAAAAAAGCGAAACAAAAGACAGAAAGGAGGGCAAAAATACGACTCAACATTTGTCGTGCATTCACTTTCTATCTGTTGTATTTTCGCTTTTTCAAAATACAAATTTGTGAAAACACAAAGAGACATCAATTGTCTCTTTGCATTTTCGCTTTTTAGCATTGTTAGTTACACTTCCGCATTGTTGCATTTTTGCTTTTTCACATTGGTACATTTTCGCATTGTTGTATTTTTGTTTTTACGCATTGAGGGAATTTGCAATTTTTCTTTATCCCTCATGTACAGACTCAATCAAACCGAGTCTGCAATTTTCATGTAAATTTCCTGTTTTTAATGCTTCTGAGGGATCACTTTTTTACCAGAAATTTTTACATTTTCGATTGTACATGCCCCTGGAGGCATCAATTACATTGCACGTATGCCAAAAACAACAACGGTCGACTGAAGTGACCATTATATTATCCTTTTTTAAATAAATTGTAATGTGAGTGTTTTCCGACAGGTTTGCACTAAAAAATACAACAATGCCAAAAAGCGAAATTACAACAATGAAAAAAGGTCAAAATACCACAATGCGCAAAAGGAAATTACAACACATGAAATGCAAATAGACGACAGATTGTATGTGTCGTATTGTCGCCCTTCTTCTGTCAAAGTTTTGCCTTTTCGCCTCGAATATCCGAAAAAATAAAACTGGAAGAAACTTTGTCGACAAAGCGTAGATAAGACCCCGTACTATGGTGGTTGATTAACGCTATGCTTTTGCTTCTTTGCCACTATGGTGACTGATTTACGCCATGTCTTGATTTTGCTTCTTTGGCTTGAAAAAGCATAAATGTGAAAACACGTCTCTTTTTGTTTTCGCTTTTTCTTATTGTTGTCGTATTTTCGCATTTTTGTCTCTAACATCTGTAAAAGCGAAAACACTTCTCTTCTTGTTTTCGTTTCTTTTCTTTTTTTTTGGGGGGGGGGGGATTTTTGTGGTATTTTTGCCTCGAACATCTGAAAAGGCGAAAACACGTCTCTTCTTGTTTTCGCTTTTTTATTTGGATTTCTGTCGTATTTTCGCATTTTTGACTCGAACATCTGAAAAAGCGAAAACACAAAGAGACGACGTCCCTTTCCCTTTTTCGCAATTTTGCATTTTGAAGTGAATGTTCGTTCCATTGCTTTTGAATGACTTCTTCTTTTCTAGAATATTGCTTGTATAGGTTTAAGGAAACGAACCTTTTTATCTGTTTATTGAAAATTAGACAAGCATCTTGATTGGTCTAAACAAAGATAAACAAACAAAGAAACAACAGATAAATCTAACTTGAAAACTTTATTCCCCCAAAACACATTTCTTCAGTAGGATGAAATTTATTTAATAGACGGTTTGATTTCATATAATGACAAATGGAAATAACGAGTTTATTCTGCATATAAAACTTACTGTAGGCGCGTTCAAATTAACTTTTTGTATATTTTTATAATGGATAAATAAAGATTTATGCCCAAAGATTCTTCACAATAGTAAACAAATATAAATATGTATGAGTAACCTGACATAGGACGCTCAGATCGAAACTTAGAATTTATTAGGTAAAATAACACAATGAACAATTTATCCAAATATGTCAACGTTACATTTTCCAAGTCATGTTTATTTATATCTAGTTTAGTCAATTTCCGTTGATTTATATTGTGTCTATTTTTGTGTGTATTTCTAATAAGACCCACAATGTAGAAATAAGGAATATTCAATATAGATAAATATAGATTTCTATTTTTTATGACTAGATTGTTGTTTATGTTCATTTATCACAGCTAATGGATGTCTTTCCAGTTGATACCAGATCGTCCGAATCGTAGACTTGGTAACGACATTGATTCCTTTATCTGTCGCTCCTTCATGTGGCTTATATATTGTTGAACACGTGACATTAAATCTTCCATTTGGTGTCGCTTAGCGGCTGCAAAACATTATTGCAAAAAAGAGTCGTTATTATATTCAACCATATTTTTACAACGAAAATCAAGTCAAAGTTTATTTTCAATAAACATAGACAGATGAATGTCTTTGTTATACACATTTAGATATAAATATGATATGATACTCAAAATATAAAAAAGTAAGATGCGTTTAAAACTACTTAACATTGAAAATTATTATAGTCAAGATTTCTTGGAGCTATTCATAACTAAAAACAGAAAAACAACTTCATAATTTGACAATAATTTCTTTCTTGTATCATATGCATTCCACAACATGGCAAAAGTAATTACTTATGGTAGATGTCGGAATGTAAATTTATATTTGACAACCCCGTATGATAAATGCTGCTACAACCTATTGAATTTATTTTAAGATATATTAAAATCTCCAGTCATAACAACTTGACAGTTCCATCATCAAGAAGTGAGAATGTAACATCACAAAACCGGCATTGTCATCCTTACCTTTATGTCTTGCTTTTGAGTCAGCAGCCTCGTTTGTGTTTTCAAGGATTTCCTCTGGTGGCTTCATGTGCTCTTTAAGTACATCTCTAAAACGAAGTTTTTTCAGTAATAACTTCCTTAACCCTGGAACAAAAATACTATATATGAATATATGAAATGAAATTAAAGTAATGTTGATAATATTCCATTTTTTAGTATAATCATTTTTATTTTTCTATTTTGTTTTGTTTAACATTCAAGTATCGTAATGATGTGATCTAACAATAACCTTTCTGTTTATCATATCCCCCACATATTTTATAAATGCTTTATATGAATTTTGAGCATGACTATTTCACCCACGGAGCATGATTGAAATAAAAATATACACTTGATTTTATCAAGTCTAGTTGTGAAACGCCCTGGTTTGTCGCAACTTACAAGCTACTGTCCGAATCTCCTAAGGTATAAGCATAACTAAACATTTGAAAGTATAATGTGGTAAATTAAAACATTTTGTAACATCTGTTAATGTGATTATACAACGGTGATGATGGAACTTTTAATGCAACATTTTCTTACCATCCTACGACGAACGGTGTGGTTAACATTCATAAAATGGCTGAGGCCAAGACGAGAAAACTAACGGCATGTTTAACAATTTTTTACAGATAATCGGGGTTGTTGTTTGCATTCAGTTGTCCAAAGGCAAGATTAAGCAGCAGACAAGATGATTCTCACTAGAAACTATTCTTGTAAGAATAGTAAAATTACCCAATGAGTAAGGATGAAACTTATTGAATAACAAAAACTGTTTGAAGGCACAGGAAGACATTACGGATCCAACATTCCAAATCTATTGTGGATATTATAATTTTGGTCTACAATCATAACAATGTAGCCGCTGGGCACCATCAGATAGGCACTCCGAAAGCATTAAAAAATATTTATAGAAACAGATGGATCGACATATATATATCCAATTGATATTTTTTCTTTCGTTTTCGTTTTTTTTTCTTAAGTCCTGGTTGCTTTTAGTATAAACGTTTGATATCTCAAGAGATGTAAATTCCTTTAAACAAGTAGTCTGCTTTTTGTTAATAAATTACGTTCGAGAAAAAAAGTTACTAGTATCTTGTGGTCGCTTGCTTTAATTTCGACAGTGTTACAAACCATTATCAATTTCATGCCCATAGAAACAAGCACGAAACTTTCTTACAATTTCATCTGTGGCTAAAACGTTGGAAAGTTATCTCAGTAGTAGGATCTATCTCTTACATCAAATCTAAATTAACATACCAGCATTGCCTCCTGTGTCGAGATCAAGAACATCTCTGTAGCCTGGTTCGGAAGGCGTTTCATCATCGTCATTTATATAAAATGCATCAGAGCAGATCAGGCAGTACGTCACTAATGTAGTTATGAATGCTAGAGAGACCTGGTTCATTTTGCTTCTGTTATCACTTAAAGTTGCTTAAGTTTTTCTGCAATAAAATACATGAAACTAGAGAAACAAATATTACGTAGGAGACATTATATGAATTTGTGAAAATGTGTTGCAAGAAACTCGCAAACGTCTATCCTACGACAGATCCGCTTTACTGACCAATTTCCAATGTCGTTTGCATTCAGGCTACACGCTGTCAGGGAATTTTTACTTTCAAAAACTCCAAAAAAACAACCTTTGGAAGAATTTCGAAAAATATGGCCATCCCTTGGCCACTCGACAGATGAGTTTAAGATCATTTTTATCTTCACATTTCTTTCCCTTTTAGTAGAAGTTGACATATTGCTAAAGTTTATTGTGTTATAAAATATTGCATGTTTCGTATTACATATATCTGATTTTGATCACATAAATTTTGAATTATCTTCCCTTTAGAACTACATGTTAACTTAAAATAAATCGGATGGTACTGTCTGGAAAGCGATTATAGTCTTCTTTTCTCTTTCACATACCAGGGTTCCCAAATATTCATACGCTAATGATATGGTCCGGAAAAATTACAATTAAATTTATCCGGGAAAAAAATACAAAGTAATTTTTCGCTATGTCGTCGTTGCCTTTCATAAAAAAATTCTATGTTCGTTTTATTAGTTTCCACCGCTCATAGTCAGAAAGCAAATTGTGAGGAGTTGGTGAGCATGTCTCCACCGGGGCATATTCCGCCGTAGGTAATGGTTCCTCAAGTAAAAATCTATAAAACATATTAAAGTATGAACAAAATCAGTTCCAAATTCAAATGTCTCTTCCATTAAATCTTAGATTTGTTCTTTCTTTGTGTTGATTCGAACTTTGCGGTTTCTTTTGGTGTAACAGTTGATTATTTGTTGTTTTTCTTTTTGTTCTTTATTTTCTTTCTTTGTATTTTTTGTTTATTTTTTCTGCATTGTGAGTTGTTGTTGTTTTTTATGTTGTTGTTGTTGTTGTTGTTGCTGCTGTTGTTGTTGTGTGTTTTTTTTTTGTTAATTTATTTATTTATTTATTTATTAATTTATTTATGTATTTATTTATTTATTAGGGGGTATGATTTTCTTTACTTTTTTAATTCGATTAAATAAGGGAGCGGAACCGTGGTTTTGTACATCACTATGACAATACGTGATTCAGTGCCCGCGCTTCGTACATCACTATGACAATACGTGATTCAATTTGCGGAACAATAAAATTGTTAATCATACATTATTATGACATGTAAACTGATGTGTAATTCAATATCACTGTTGATACAACATGAATTAACACTTTGGGCTATAACCATTTTAGTTTTAACCAAACTATTAACCGGTCGACATAGAATTATCGGTCGCTGTTGTATGGAAGGCAAATGCACCATTAGTAACAAATAAAGGAGGTGATAAACATAAATAAATGTATATGAACAAATGTAATCAAGTGTAGATTATCGTTATATGATAGCATTGTCATAGTACATTTCACCATAGTAACATACCACCGTATGTTCAATGTTCATATATATATAAATGATATATCTATTCAGTGTTTACACACTTGTAAATTGGTTATGTGCAATTACTTAGGTCTAAATGAGCTCGACCAAACTAGTTGATTTCCGTATTTAGTTTATTTACACGGAGAAAATACGTTAAGACTATTTTACCTGGGAGAAATTTCGGAGACAACTTTTTTTACATATAACAACATGCTGTAACAGCATTTTACACAACAAAATTTTCCCGCAACAACATTTTTTTACATAGAAGCAACATTTTACATGGGAAAATATGCCATTACAGCATTTTTAAAAATAATATGTTGAACTAGCTAAATTAAATTCGTTTCTTTTATACGAACGATATGGTAAGATACAGACTTTACGTAAATCGACCACTACTGAAAACGCGAGCATTTAATTTTGAAAGAAAAGATTTTTTTTGAAATGCAAAAAGTTCATGTAGCCTCCATTTATCTAACTATAGACACCAACCGCTCATTTTCTGTTTGAATATTTTCCCAAGCAGATGATACGTTTTCAATAATATTTCAAATTTCCTTTCCTAATGGTTTAATTCAGTTTACCTAACAGTGCAAAGAGCAGTTATTCATTGGCATCTAAAAGCGTTCAGCCGGGCTCGTAATGAATTCAGTTGTCAATTAACTTGCCTGTAAATCATGTTAATTAGCAAGTTATGGCTTCATGATCTCTACATACAACTTCAATATTTACCAACAATGTCATTCTGTGGTGAAAATGGCAATAGTTTGACATGTCTAGTAATGTAAGGCGATACTTGAATAACGCAGAATAAGTCAATCATTGATGATTGATTAGTGATATGGTAACTTGCGGCTTCCCGGGTATGAAACACGCTACAATGGTTAATGCAAAAAAGCTTTTATTGTCATATTTGTAAAACGCATTATCTGCATTGTTTCACTTTTTTAATTTTGTTGAGGTGGTTGGGGGGGATAACGTCACATCATTACAATGGCGGTTATCTGTTATTCATCAACATGTAAATAATAATTTTGTTTCAAGGAAATGACAATTTCTAGTTATTTGGTATTCAATCAATAACTTTATATTGTAGCCATATATTGATAGTTTGTTTTTCACTAGTTGTTTTGAGGTTAGCTTGATATGGAAGCTCCCCGCACAAGCATACATCCTGACAATATACGTGCATTAAACATTTAAGTCTAAGTAGAATAGAAAGTTATGTATTCCTTTGTCGTGTATCTATTTGTTATAAATGACATTAAAGAAGATAGAAAGACCGAAACCTATATCGATCATGATTATTTTTTTAATATAAAGTATAATAATAAATCAACAAAAATAAATCTCAAGCAAAATAATCATGTGACATTGAACACTTAAATTAAATATATATCATATATAGAAATGTATAATTATTGCACAACTTCTTTTGTTAACAGCCTTCACGTGTTTTTAAATTATTATTTAAACGCCATAACATTGTTCTTGTTGAATTATTTAGTTATGCTGAAGCCGGTGCTTAGGGGCATGGGTGGCAAATTGCATATAGCACCGTGGCTCAATTAAACCGAGTCTGCAACATTTATGATTTTGCCTCGTTTGACGTCCTTTACTGCTTAAATTTTATCTATATCACTTATTTGGAACAAATTATAAGAGGATAAATATGGGCAGTTATATAACTCAGCAAACATATTATTATGTCCAATATGCATATACTGAACTAAGTATCTGGCCGTGAAATACAATCAGTGATTGTGCTTTAACAATATCAATATACGTGCAAATAACTCCAAACAGTTTTTCCTCGAAACACTTTATTTTGTATTGCATTATTTGTAGATTGATAATTCTAATGCGAATAGATATAAAGTATGTGATTATCAACTAGTCATTTTACTGTTGGCATAATAAAATTTCTTATCTATATGCATGTACATCATATGCTAATAGAGAATGACGAACGCTTACAGCTTGTCCAGTAAAACAGAAAACGAAAATGTCACACACTCAATCTGATTGACTTTTTTTATGGGTCGTTTTTATCAATGCAATCTAATATCCATGCCCCTTAGCTCCGGCTTAAGCAAACTTTAATGCTCCAATTTTTTCTTCAAAGATATGCTTGAAGCGGCTGTCTTATTTTTAGACAATTATGCATATTTATGTGTTAGGTAGTTTCGTATATGTCATAGCAGATGCTGCTTTGTTATCACTGCAATGTTCATATGTTATCTGAATGAAGCTTCCCATTCCGTTACATTGACAAATTTAGCCCGTATTCTCTATTTATTGCCAGAACAACTCAAACTGTATCACAAACAAAAATATGTGTTCTTCTCAACCATTGACTATGTATTATCCCCCACTCAATGTAAAGTAACTGGAAAGCAAGTCAGGCAATTGGCATAAACTTGGTATCCATGTGATAGTCAGCCAATTTGCGTTAAACAGTAAACAATGGTCCATGTGATAGTCTGCTAATGTGCATAAAACAATTAACAATGGAAACGTTCATATGATAGTCAGCCAATTTGTATAACATAGTAAATATTCAAAAAGGTCCATGGGATAGCCAGTAAACTAATTTGTATAAACTTTAAACACCGGAATGGTTCATGTGATAAATAGTCAGCCAATTTGTATAAAACAGTAAATATTCGAAAGGTTCATGGGATAGCCAGTAAACTAATTTGCATAAAACTTTAAACTACTGGAAAAGACGATTACATGGCTAGCTAATATTTTGAGGAAAGGACATACACTTTTCACATGTAGTGATTATAAGAAGAGATTACGATGACTGTCAATTGATTGGATGGATTATACGAGAAGTTCGTGCACATTAGCTAATTACTATCTCTCGGACGCAATTATTTCCGTTGTGTCTGTTAAATGTCAAAACATATTCTTTCATTTCTGTCACTTTGCTAATCTCCGTGTACTTAGCTTGGTAAAAAAAATATTAGCCTTTCGAATCTTGACTTTATCACATTGAAGGTTCCATGATAACCGCCGTATGAACACATTTGCGGATGTTTCAAAATCCAAATTGTACCATTTCATGTTAAATGTTGAATTCTGCTTAAGCCGGTGCTAGGTGCGTGGACGGTAGTTTGCACTTGACCGTAGCGTCCATGAACAGGCTCAATAAAACTGAGCCTGCAACATTTTCAGTTTTTGCGTGTTGGGTTTCCTTTAAGGTTTCTTATTTCCTCTATTATTTTTTCACAAAAAAGATCAGAATTTTGTTTGTATTTAATGTGAGTCACGTGGTAAAGTAAGTTGAGCGGAAAAGCGTCAAGTATACAACATACATGAAATAAAAATTAATCACCTATAAGAAAAGCAATAAACATATTTAGAAAATTAAGATGTATGATATGTTAATAAATATACATATATACATGAAAATCAGCAATATTGAAATGCATAAAAATCGTACAAGAAAGGACACCGTTTAATTCTGCTTAAAATGTTGTCTTGTACCATACACATGTTATGGCGTGGAACATTGCTTT